ATTTCTGTTTACAGAGGTTTTGCCGTTATGTATGGCCTAGGCATTGCCCTATGCAGGATAAAGGTCATTGAGCAGGATTAATTATAATTGTAAAAAATACATCATTTTATGCAGTTACGGTAGCATCTCTAGAAACTGGCAGCTACAGGTTGCATAGAAAGAAGCCCCAACACCAAGAAAACAATCAGAAGAGACTGGACTTTAGTTTTCTCCATTTCCGTTGATGTTTTTAACCTTTAACTTCTATGCCATAACAATTTTGCAAGACTGCTTTATATAGGACTTTTCATCAGCTTAATTCCATATTGACCATTAATAATTCGAAAACTAATATGGAATAAAAACATTAATTTTTTTTGTTAATTAGGCAGGAGATCAAAGAATTAAACTGGCAAATCAATTTGTTATTTGCGATTGAAGAAATATAATTAAATAATTAAATAGCCTTAATGTTTTCAAGTATAATTATTTGGAAAGCCCAGCTCAATGGATAGTGAAGATACAAATATGAGAAGATAACATACAGAAATAGATTTATTATTCCATAGCCAAGATTGACTTGCTATATAATATGATATATTCCTCCTTTCATATATTCATAGAATTCAAATTCCTTTTATGATTTGTGAACTAATTAATGTAAGAAATCAATTCTAGTCATGAATCATGATTGTATTGATCAAATGACATTGAAGCAATCAATAGTTTAGCCTTTAATAAATCTGAATGAATGTATGTGTGGAGTTCTATCCCACATGAAAGCCAAAAAAAGGCTGATTTACATTCAGACTTATGCTAGCATCATGCTTTCACCAGAAAGGTTTCATTCCAAACATTTGATTACAAACTAAACTAAGAATCATTGTAAACATTTGCAACTTCTAGGACCAGCTGGCTGAACGTATCCTATGTGTTTAATATTTTTCTGAAACATAAATATAATAAGAGTGTGTTTGGTTGGATTTATCTACTAGTTAAAAAGAGCTTATTTATAAGCACTATTTTAGGTTGTTTCCCAAAAGACTAACCTATTAGGTGGAGAGATTCCCCTTGGGTCTGCTCTGATACCACTCGTCACGAGCGGAGAGTTTCACATCCAAAAGGCTAACCTATTTGGTGGAGGGATTCCCCCCTTTGTAAGCCCAAGACTTCTCCAATGCATTTTCGATGTGGGATTCACTATCAATTAAAAAAAAAAAAAAAAATTTTATTCTATTAAACATATTTGACTTAATTTATTCTTGTGCCTTAAATTTAGCACTAAAAAGTCTTTTACATTTTCCTAACCAAGCAACTAACACATTTTTCATAATAAAGCTATATTTCATATGCTCTTCTTCAATAAGCTTTACTCGAATAAATCGTAACAAACAGATATTTATTAAACGGTTGAACGACATCCTCCCACCCAAACTTTGCCCTAACAACAATTTGTTACCAAAAAATTTAAAAATGACAATTACTCACTTTTCGACAAAATCTGTTAGTAGAATCTGTTAACTGACCTGACATTATTGATGTTTGTATGGGCCAAAAATTGTATTAGGCCTAACGAGACAGAATAACGAAATAAACATATTATGACCTAATGCATTAGCCTAATTGCAGTTGGGTCTACGCTTAAATCCACCATGCGAACTGACTATTCTATGAGTTGAGTTATCTTACAAGTTAAGTTAAATTGGGTTCTAACCTGTTTTCCCACAACAATCCAGAATAGGAATTAAAATCCTATTTACTTTCCGCTTCAGTCAAGATCCTGAATCTTTCTTAAAGTGGTAAGCCTAATCTGATAAAGGCAAGTGATAATGCGTCCTTCCTAATTGAGGCTCATCTACAAAGTAGGACTCAGAGTTCTGCTAGGACTCCAACCCCTTTGGTTCACTATATAAACAGAGGCTAGACCTCTTATTATTCATTCAGAAATAACTCCTAGCTCTTAGCTCCTAAATTCTTCCTCTCAAGAATCACCGCCTTTCTTTGCCGTGAAGCTTACTTCCGACCAACTTCACCACCCTTAGCCACCGCAAAGTTATGCTCCGACCACTTTGTGTGAGTCTAGCCCTAGTCGCATTATACGGTAAACCCTTCCCACTCTCAGCCCTCACTAAATACGTTCAACCTCGTTGACTTCAACGTCGGAGTGCCTATGACAAACACCACACTGGTGTCACCTAAGCCTTCACATTCCCTTTCCCTCTCCCTCTTTGTCGCTTGTCACGAGATCTATCCTTTCTAAATCAATTGTAAATTTTATCGTCTATAATGGTCTTTCATCCTTAAAGGGTAATTTTGACCCTAGTTAGTAAATACGGGTACGGCAAAAAAAGGGTATGGAAATTTTACTAGCATAATACGGCAAACGGTGAAAAACACGTTTATAAAAATTCGGATACGAGAAAAATACGGTATGGATATATACGGGTTTAATACGATGTATTGTCAATAATACGTTTTGAAAAATACGGCAATATCAATCTTAGTTTTAACACTTTTATGGACTACCTAGTTAAAATCAATATAACATTTCAAATGCAAAGTATTCAATTAACCAATAACACAAATACACAATATATAAATATGACTGATATTCAAATTATAGTATTCAGACTCAAACACAATATTTAGCCAAGATTCAACTATAGTGTCAAATCAAACACAGTCATAACAAAACCAATTGTTTACAAAAATTACAAATACACCCTGCAGTCAGTTTACAAAAATTACAAATGTACCATGTAAAAGTTAAAACTATATATTTTATTAAATTTTCTCCCTCCTTTCTTTTCTCTTTCATTTTCTTGTTCTTTTCAAAAGTCAAAACTTTCTTCTCTCTTTCTTATGTAAGTTTCTTCTCTTCTTTCTTTCTTTTCTCCACCTTCTCTTCACTTCCTTCTTAAACCTTCGTCTCTTTTGTATAAAGTATAAACTTATGTCTATACAAAAGAGACGAAGGTTGTGGAAATTGATTGTTTGCTGGAGTTGATTGTTGTGTGTTGATTGTGGGAGTTGATTGCTTGTGGAAATTTGTGAAGAACTGAGGAAGAAAAGCTGAAGAAGAACTGAGGAAGAAGAAGTGAAGAACCGAAGAAGAGAGATCTGTTTTAATTTTTAGTAAAAACCCACTAAAACGACGTCGTTTTGGGGGTGAGATTTTGTTTTTTTTTCAATAATTCGCAAATTATACGGGAAGCCTTATTATACGCGAATTATACAGCAGATTTTACAAAATACATATACGTGCGTTTTATATGCAAATTATATGGTTGTCCATACAATTCGCGTATAATACGCGTTTTTACTAACTAGGATTTTGACTTTTCATGTTTTATAAAATCTCTAATTTTTTTTCTTTATTATTTTTACTTCATTTTCTCTTTCTTTCCTTCTCATCTCTCATCTTCTCCGTCTCTTCTCTTTCTCTTATCTTTCTTTCCATTCTTCTCCCTTTCTCTTTTCTCTTTCTATCCACCACTTTTCTCTCTACTTCTCTCTCTCCCTCTCCCTCCTCCTCCTCCTCCCATCTTCTTCTTCTTCATCTCCCCCTCTTCCCATCTTCATCTTCTTCATCTTACCATTCGGCCAAATTGCACCTGATCGCTCCGATTCCTGCCAAATCGCATCCGGCTAGGTTTGATTCCGTTGGAATAGCATCAGGTTGGGTGCGATTCCGGCCAAATTGGATTCAGAGAGGTGCGATTCAACTTGATTTTATTGTTGACCATTTGTCTTCTTCAACCGGAAGGAAATCGAATCATGAGTAATGATGATACAAGTGTTTAGGAGCCCTTCCACAAGCACTTGCCCATCTTTTGTAGCCATGGACAAGCTCCCACTATAAAGATTTATACTAGTAGTGTGCCGTGGCATGGAGCTTTCTAGGTAGATTCTGGAGTAATCTTCATCTTCATACCTTTTCTTTTGCCGCGGCATCTTCATCTTCTACAAAAAAAGATTCAATCTTCAATAGAATCCATTTCTGAATCATCATAGCAGCTATCAAACCAATAGCTAAAACTAAGAACTGTATGCAACAAAGAAACATATGCATTGAATTTTTTTGAACATCAGCTAGAAATTGTAGTAAATGATATAATTCCTGTTAAGGTGAAGAATAGTTGGTGGGGGAAATTTGAGCGGTATATTCTTACCAAGAAAACAGAACTCTTATTTAGGAACTTAGAATGAATCAATTTTACAGCTCTTTTGAACCTATAAGGCAAACAAGAACAAGGACTTGATAAATAGGTTTATTTTAGAAGACATTTAACTATATTTGAAAATAAGATGATGGATTGAAATATCTATTAGTTCATGAATCATGAGAGGAATTCGAGTTCAATGAATATATGAAAGAAAGAATATATCATATACATATATGGCAAATCAACTTGGCTATGGAACAGTCCTATATAAATCAGTCTCACAAATTTGCTATGCGGTAAAATATTTAAAGACTAAAGACATCGATTAAAATGGAGAAAACTCAAGTCAAGTCTCTTTTAATCCTTTGTTTGGTGTTGGGTGTTCTTGCTGGGCAATCTGTAGCCAATTCACGAAATGCTGCCATTTTTGCTTAATTGGTTGTATTTTTTCAATTATAACTGGTCCTAGTGATTGTGCTAAATCCTGCAAAAAGGAATGTCTGCGTGAAAGCGGCGTGGCGCCTTTTAAACAGCAAGGACTTTGCGACGTTGGTTTTGTCTCGTCCATCTGCTACAGTCTTATGACCAAAGAAAACCTTCCTAAACCTGGAGGTAAAAAATTAAACTCAAGATATTTTCACGGTATATATATTTTTTTTTTTATAAAACTAATTTTATTTTGTTTTGTTTTGTTATTGTCAGGGAAAGAGAAAGTTGAAGAGTGTTTGGATTCATGTGCAACAAGCCATTGCGGCAAGAATTGATCACCGAGGGAGCCGAAAATAATTCCCATTCTAACCTACTGCCGCAATCTTACATTACATGTCTCATTTTCCTCCTCCTTTCTCTTGCAACTCAAAAATCATGCCGTGATCTCGCCGGAATCTTATTCGAATTCTGACGAAGACCGACGACCAAATCCACGAATGCCCTTAATATGAATTTGTATGATTTTTTCTCATTAAGCCTCACGTAAAAAAACAAAAGCTCTTCTAAGAAATCCCAATCAACCGTCGCTTGATGTTGCAGTCTTGCCTCCACCATTTCTTGCATGGAGCGTTGAAAATCACCGTATGGACTTGGAGAGTATCTCAAGATTGTAATGGAGTCACCAGGAAGCTTCACATACTTGGAATCAGTAGAAACAGTAGAGGAGTGATCATTTAGGGCAGTGGTTGAAGTTGAGGTTGAGGTTGAGGTTGAGCCACCCATGTCCTCATCATAGTTGGTGAAACTATTCCGAGCTTCTTCGATGAGCGAGCCTGAAAATCCTGGCGCCACGAAAAACCGGTGAGACCCCTGACGAATCCTTGGCGGTTCAATGAACCGAGGTGAATCAAACAATGCCCCATTTGGAATTTTATCTCCATCACATTCTTCTTTCTTTTTATTATCATCCTCGTCGTTAAGATAAAGAGACTTAAAATTCTCGAATAGAAAACGATCGATGTCGGAGAGCGTTGCAGCGCCATCATTATTATTGTTGTTGTTGTTGCTGCTGCTATTATCATTTTGGTCACAATAAACGGCAAATGATAAGGTTTTGGGGTGTTTGCAGCTTGAAAGGACCCAATTTTTCGAAGTTGAGAATGAACTAGAGTATTGTAATTGAATATTTGATGGGCATTTTTTTAAATTGGAGAGGCATTTTTTGAGAGATTTTTGAAGGTGCTTGGGCATTTTTGTTGGCTATGGATTTCTGTTACTTGAACTGTGTTTGGTTTTGATTTGAAGGATGTGGTATGCTTTATAAATAAGCAAGTTAAGGAAAGTAACATAATTAAAGTATTTATAAAGTAACATAATTAAAGTATTTATTGTTTTCGGAAACGTATTTAGTTTATTAATTTAGTTGAGAGTCTTAAAAAGAAAAAAGGATAGGGGGCATGAATTTTGTTGGAGATTTGGTAGCCATAAATGGATGTAAGATTTGTTTTAAATTAATGCAAAATATTAATATATGGTTAAATAATAATAATAATAATAATATGAGAGATTTCAGTTTCCTTTTATGCAGTGCTTCTTATGGATTTGCTATCTATTCATTCATTAATTGTCAAAATTGAATGATATTATATTGATGGTATTACAATATTTTTTAATATTTTCTATTTCTTTTATCTTTAAATTAATTGTTGTTGGTAGTTATTAAATGTAAGAACTTCTTGTGATGTATGTATTGTCTTGCGATGCCAAAGAAGATGAAAAGTTGAAAAAAAAAATCAATTTAAAAGTGAATGATGTTATATTTCATGTTTTGTAAAGTCGAAAATAAAAATATAATTTAATTTTTAGCTTTGCTCAACTCGAACTAGACCTTTAGCAAAATAGATTGACATCGTAACCAGATACACCACAAAACATTGATATTCGTAGATTCATCAAATAACATAGAGATTTTTTTGATATTTCTAAAACTTTAAATAAGCTTATACATAAAACAGCTTTATTTAGTAATTCATCTTCATAAAACTGACTATGCAACCCACCCATGGGTAGCCCAACGATTAAGGGTGAGCATGGGTAATAGGTAGAACTAGAACGAGAATTGGAACCGGAATCGATACTGTACTAGTAGGTTCCGATTCCAATATTTTAGGATCAACATTGTACGGGTCCGGTTCCGTTCCGGTCCTACATGTGCTGGAACTGAAATCAATCGAACTGGACCGAAACAAACTTGGGTGAATACGTGGATGGAACTTGCTTGGAACCGATACGTACCCGATATGGAACTATTGCTTGGAACCAAGGGTGGTTACTCGCTAGAATCTGCTTGAACTTGTCTTGGAACTTGGACTAAACGGAATATCAGTAAAGAATGGGGATCTGATCATTTTACATATAAAAAAAATTAATTGGGATTAAAACCCGTGTGGGTGCGTGTGTGGACTTGGGAGGCCCCATTTGTTGGTGGTAGATATATTTAATAATAAAATATTATATATATTTTAAATGTTTTTTTAAATATATATTTATAGTAAAAGTTTGATTAATTACTAATAATTGAAATTAGGATCCAATTAAAACTGTTTTAATTATTAAAAGATTATTTTTGAATAATTATATTTGATTGAATGATATTTATTTATTTACCTAAATTATCAAGTTTTAACTTTCAAGTATATCTTAATAAATTTGTATTAATTAATTATATATGATAATTAATAAATATTATTATTAGTGCATTACTTATTACTGAATTAATGTTAAAAATTTAATTAATTATAAAATTACATTATAGTATGACAACCTCATGGTCATGGTATATTAGAAAAGGTAAGTGTTTAATTAAAGATTCATAAAATGTTAATATTAATATTTAATTTTATTCTTTTGTCACAACTTCACATAATGTTATTTACTGCATTTCAATTCCGGTCGATTTCATTTCTGTTCCTTTTCCTGGGAACCCAATCGTTTTGGTTCCTTTCCTGGGTTACTAAAGAAGACGTAAATGAAAAAAAAATTAAAATGAATGATATTACATGAAAAAAAAAATCATTTAAAATGGAATATATATTATATTTCATGTTAAGTAATCAAAAATGAAATGATTTAATTTTTGGCTTTGCCCATCGAAAATGAAAAATAAATTATTTTTTGGCTTTGCCTTGACTCGAACTGGAGACCTTTAGCGTGATTGACTGACCTGCGACACCGCTGACCTTAATATTTACTATTGCTGGCAATATTTTTTATCATCACCATCACCATCTTCATTTTCATATAAATTAAAATTTCCAGCAGAAATTGCGACATTGAATCTTGGCATTATTGATTTTTGCAAAAGATACTTTCAGAGTGTAATTTAAACTTGATTTGTTGAGGTGCGCCAGGCCTTTGCAGTAGTGCAACGCATGGGCGACGCTTAAGGAACCCAGTAGCAAGCTACTGTAGTGGATCCTCCCCCTAAAAAAAATTTAATATCATGTGGGACAATGTCCCACGTATCATATTTAAACTGATAAGAACAGATACTACACTTGATCTTAGCAAAAGGCCGAGAAGGTATGCTTTGTTCTGTGGTCAATTGTTCTTTTATAGCTCTACTCTGCATTGTGCTCTCTTTTTCATCAATGTGGGAGAAACCAGGCCTGACATTGCTGCCTTTATTTATTCCAATTTACACGGTATTTTTTTGATTTGTTATTCTACTTTGTTTAGCAATAATAAAAAGCTGTTTTTCATTAATTACACACTGGAGAACTAGTGGCTGATTTTCTGCTATCAGTAGAGTGACTCTGATTTCTCTCACCAGAACTGCTTTAGGAATTTGTTTTGGCAGCACTGCTGAACTGGACTTGAACTTTCTAGTTATTGCTAACCAAACTATTTCGGATTGCATAGCACCCATCAAATGACATGATAATATTGGCATGGTTAAGGCATTACACAAATGACCCTTCAATAATCTGAAACAGAACCATGTATGTTTGCAGTTCCATCACCTCTAAAACCAAGTCAAGGTTGTGTTACATTCACAGTCTTGCTGCACTTAAAAATTAAGCAATTTTATTAATATAAAGCAATTTTCACCATGATTGTGAATCGTGTATTGTATCGTGTATCGAAAACCTAATTTTTCGAATCGTGTTTCGTACATATTGTAGATACGCTTTTTTGGAAAAAAAAAATAAATTTTTTCTAAAATTAATATCGTCTCCAAGATTAATTAACGAATTTTGTGATATTATTGGCTTTAAATTATGGTGTTACATAATCAAATTAATCACGAAATTAAAATCTATATCATTTCCTCAACTATTCATGTCATTTTCAAGATCAATGTCAATATCTATATCTCTACTTGTGTTTTATTATCATCAAAATAGGTAACACATTTTTTTTTGGGTAACAGGGGTGTTCTGGCCAACTTACGCTCACCTCAACTAATTCCTAAGTCTATTGAATGTCCTACAAACACAATGAACCGGGTAAGACACAATTATGCATTGAGGTAGTGGCCCCAAGTTTTGAACCCAAGAAGTTAAGCAAGGGAGCACACCTCCTTGACAACTAGGCTAATCCCTTGGGGTTAATGGGTAACACATCTTCCTTTTCACTTTTTTCATGTAAAAAAGGTAAATTTGGCGGGTTTTAGTGAACCGGGTTAGGTGACCTAGATCCGACCAAAATTTTTTTTTGGGCCAAAGGCCAAAATTAATAAAGTTGTATTGATATTTTTAAAGATACAACCGATATGAATCGTAGGATACTTATCAACAAAAGTTTTAGATACATTCTCTGATACATATCATTGGTAACCTATATCGAATTATATACATATCACATATCGTAGGATACGGATAACCATGATTTTCACAACTAGATTTGATAGGGAGCTGCACTGAAAGAGAACAACCTTCCAACAGAGGTATGCCGTTTTAGAGTGGCGAGCACATGGTATTCTTTAGTAAAGGCGAAAGAATTGTTTGCTTTGTGCTCACCACGCGGCTCCATGCTTAGAATAAGGAATTTACTGCATTTTATATATCTAAGTTATGTGTCAGGATTCTACGTTCAAGGCCATGTGGGATTAGAACCATATCTACATATCTTGATTCTCCCTTAAGCTCATTGACTAATGACCATGCCAAGTGCTGCCAAAATCGATATAAAAATCAAAATCTTAACTCACTAACATAAATGCACTTTCCGGAGGGTGAAAAACAGAGTGAGAATGCTCTTGCTAAAGTAAAAACAGAGTAAGAATTTTTATGAATGCTCTTGCTGTGGAGAGTCATAAACAGAGGAGAACATTATGAAATACTCTTGCTGGGAGAGTCATAACAGAGGAGAATGTAAGTGAAGATGGTCCAGACACATCTACCGCAAGAAAACTATTACTTCTGCAATCAAGTGTATAAATTAGCAAAAGCATGGCATTTTTAACGAGCAGTTTGATACTCCACTTTTTTTTAACACGAGTATGTGTGGAGTTCCATCACCAAGTAAATCAAAGTTGTGTAAAAACCAGGTGTGACAATAAGCCACGTAATTAAGCAGTTTCTGGTTCACAAAGCAATTTTCATTACAAGAACACTAAACTAGATTTGTTAGGAGTTGGACTTAAGAGTACAACCCCTCCAAAATAGAGGTATGCCGCTTGAAGTGGCGAGCACACGGTATTCTTTAGTAAAAGGCGAAAGATAGTTCGCTTTGTGCTCACCACACGGCTCCATGCTTTTATAATCTGTCCTTGCGTTTAATATTTACGTTGTGGATTGAAGGTTTTATCTTTTCTAGTTCATGTGGGACTACGTGAATCTCTCTCTTTCAGTTAGTAAGGGCATGACATACTCTCTTCTGCTGGGCTAATGACAGATTCTCTTAATATTCATTCACTTCTATGACCTTGGAGGAGCAAACACAATGCCCATGAATATTTATTATTACCTTAAGAAGACAGGAATCTCATTGTATTAAACCGTGCTTTCTGGTCTACATTGCCTCTTCCCTCTTGTAGCCAATGTGGATACTCTTTGCCTGACATTGCTTATTATGTTCGTACTGTTAATTCACTTCTGCTCCACGCTCCACCCATATATACTGCTTTCCGACGGATTTTGCGATACATCAAGAGTCACTCTTTTCATGAGTCTCTCCTTTCTCTTACTACAATTGCGTGTTTACTCTGATGCTGATTGGGCAGGGATCCTACTGACGAGATCCACCACTGGGTACTGTTTCTTCCTTGTGTCTCACTCCATTTCTTGCGAAATAAGAAACAATCAACTATAGCTCAATCTAACACAAAAGCCGAATATCTCTGCCTATACTGATACCACTGCCGAACTGCTTTGGCTCCAATGGCTCCCAGAAGAAATGGTGTTGCTTATTCCTTTGCCGTTCCTATTCATTTTGACAATCGAGTGCAATACTATCGCTCATAATGATGTCTTCCATGAATGCATTAAACAGATTGAGATTGATTGTCACTTCATTTCGCCACCACATTGCACAGGCACTGTTGAGTTATTATTTTTCGCTTCGTCGATCACTGTTTGATGTCTTCACAAAGCTCATCACCCTGACGATTCACAAAGCTAGTCTCCAATCTCAAGCTGGAATCTGCGTTACCACCTTGAGCTTGAGGGGGGTGTTAGCCAAATCAAGCAAGGCTTGATCAATGGCTTGAATCAATCAAAGCTTGATTTAGCCATTAGCATAACTCCCTAGCATGGTTCTAGCATATTTGTAAGTATAAATAGATAGCTCTTGTACATTGTAAATACATACTTGTATATATAATTTCGTTCTTTGCCTTTCTCTCCAAATTCTTTGCTTCTCTCTCTAGAATTCTAACACTTCCATATATTCATTGAACTTAAATTCAAAACACTAACACAAACCATAAACCAGTCTAGATAACTATTACTAGCTTCGTCCTATAAATAATACTATATCGGTCCTTACATTAAGACAACTAATATTGGTATAGGCTGGCATAGGCTTGGTCCTTACATTAATACTGGCTTTTATATGGTATCAACCGGCAAGGTTTATGGTTTTTCTAATTTCTTTCCTGCCGGAATCCCATATATAAAACTCTTTACCCCAGTAACGTTTATACATGTCAATGCTGTTATCTGTAGCCTTAAACTGTAGCCGTAAACTAGAATTATGCAGAGGTCTATTCTTCAGTAAGTTTATACTGGTCAGTGTTGGTATATGTGTGCTTAAACTAGGAATTGTAGGGCTTTACCCCGGAGGGAGCCCTTCCAGAAATTCTCATAGGCCAAGGCTGAACCTTGGCCTAAGAGGGGGTTTGGAAATAGTTTTCAACCAGCAATAGACGCGCCTCGGTTAGAACCTCACTAGCTGCGTCATTGCCCCAAGCGCAAATGCCTTTTCAATAAGATTTAGTTGTAGTTTTACAATGGACTCAGAAGGTTCAACTGCCTCTCATCACCGATGTGGAGGAAAAAAAAAGCATTGGTTGTTAAGTTTTGGTTCCAACAACTATAAAATTTTCTATTGAAATATCAACATGCAATTTGTATGGCAGATATATAAGTTCATCAGACTTTTACTGGAATAACACAACCAATTTCGAAGAAGTAAGAGGTTCTTTTGACAGTGGAAGTCTCTAAAGAGTTTCAGAGTTGCAAGTCTTAAGCAATCTTTAGTGCACGCTTCAACATTTTGGCTACCATGAGACAACATCTATTGCGGCACTCTTTGGCACATATTTCATTGAAAGGCGTAGACTGGCTGAAAGAAGCCCCAACACCAAAGAAACTATCAAAATCAATTGAAATGAATTTTTCTCCTCATTTTCTTTTCTGATATATGCAAGAGAAGATATGTCAAGCTAAGATGAAAAGCAGCTGAATCCCTGAAAAGTTTATATGAATTTTCATGACAGGTTTGTATAGTATTTTTGGTAACTAAACTACATTTTGCCATAAATAGACATGGAATTAAGTGATTACTTAGAGATCTGATATTCCTTAAAGAATGATGATATGTAAATATTAATGCTAGGTTAATTTTTTTTTTCTTTTTTTTACAAAACATTGAAAATGGCTACCATATATATAACTTCAACCTTGTAATAAGTGAACTTATATAGATAATTCTGAACAAACTAATACCCCTCTTTCCTCGTTCTTTTTAGCATATTATATATACAAATTATGCACATAAACTCTGGTACAAAACTTCAGCTATCAGTTCATATCCACTCTTCCAGTTTGTACATAAAATTTTATTCGTCGTTTTCCTTTTTCATAAACCAACTATTAAAAAGCTTTCCAAAATGACAATTTTCATCAGCTTAAAACCTTTTTCCCCCTAAATGATATACGTAAGGTAGTTTTGAGAACAATTAGGAACAAAAAGGTAGATGAAAATAATTAAATTTTCATCACCTCTAAAACCAAATAAAGGTTGTGTTACATTCACAGTCTAGCTGCAATTATAAAGCATAACAACCCTAAAAAATTAAGAAAGATTATATTAATATAACAATTTTCACACTAGATTTGATAGGAGCTGCACTCAAGAGAGACACCCCTCCAAAAATAGGGTATGCCGTTTTAGAGTGGCGAGCACACGGTATTCTTTGTAAAAGGCGAAAGAATAGTTCGCTTTGTGCTCACCACACGCCTCCATGCTTAAAGTAAGGAATTTCTGCATTTTATATATCTAAGTTACGGTGAGATTCTATGCTCTAGGCCATGTGGGATTAAGCCATATCTACATTTCTTGATTCTCCATAAGCTCATTAACACAATATCTTTCTAAAGATCATTGACTATGACAGAAATCAAAGTGACATAAAATGCACTGGCCGGGAGAGTTAAAAACAGAGTGAGGAATGCTATAAAAATGCTCTTGCTGAAGTTAAAAACGAGTGAGAAGTTATGAAAATGCTCTTGCTGGGAGAGTCATAAACAGAGGAGAATGTTATGGATGGTTGAGGAATTGTTGATTCAATCAAATTTATTGTTGTTTGTTTAGTTAAGTCTTTAAATTCCCAATAATTCACTGGAGTCCAGATACATCTACCTCAATTGTATAAATTAGTAAAAGCATAGCATTTTTAACAAACGTTAGCTCTTTGTTTGTGATGCATGTGGACAATTGCTCTGGAAAAATGACCTCCTATTAAAGTTATCATATATAGTAGCCAAATGTTAGCATTCAAAAAGTGAACCTCCAGTAGATAAAACTGAGTATGTGCGGAGTTCCATCACCAAGTAAATCAAAGTTGTCTTAGAGTATTTCAAACATTTTGCTACTCATATATGATAACTTAGGTGTGAGCATAACCCACATAAATTAAGTTTGTTTCTGGTTCACAAAGCAATTTTCATTACAGAAAACTCAACTATATTTGTTAAGGAGGTTGCCGCTTAAAACGGCGAGCACAATAATATCTATATTCTCTAGATTTGTTAAGGACCCGCCACCCTTAGGGACTATATCTTCATTTCTTGATTCCCTTATGCTCTTTAAACGCTAATTTTTTCCCAAGTATCATTTGACCAATATGACTATGCCAAGCAGCTGTAGAACTCGATAGCTTACCTCACGAATGTAAATTGCTCTCGCTGAGAGAGTCGGAAACAGAAATATGTTGTTTAATTACGTCTTATGGCACTTTTAACAAACAGTTTAGATGCTCTACTACTTTTACTTTATGGTCAAGCACCTATAAACACTTTTTAGCTTTGTCAACAGTTTGTGATGCATGCTGCCAATGGGTCCGCGTAAATAACCTCTGTGAAATTTAGCAAGCTACTGTGGCGAGTCCTCCCCCTAAAGAAATAAATTTAATATCATGTGGGCGTAACAACGCCGACATTGGTTGGATCATAACTCCTTTATAACAAAAGTAGTATTTTAGTGTTTCCAGAAGATCGATCAATTAGATTTATTATTGTTTTTTGATTATATCATAAAATTCTCAATTACAAGATTAGTATACGGTGCGAACTTTCACCGCTTTT